CGTGGCGAGAAGGTCGGGAGGCGGAGACAGCGAACAAACCCTCGCTGGGACGCGCGAAGGTGGCATGCTCGAAGGTCAGCCGCGCGGTGGAGCGTGGCGAGAAGGTCGGGAGGCAGAGACAACGAACAAACCCTCGTTGGGACGCGTGAAGGTCGCTGCCCGCCTCAGAAAGGAACCGGACCGTCAACAGCTGGATCCGGGAGTGGTTGGCTGAGGAAAGGAGATTACCGCCGTACCCCTGGCCCTTGTATAGCGTGTAACGGTTAGGGTCCGACCCTAATTTAATTCCACCGCGCCACCGGGATGGCCTATAAATGTCCGGAATGGTGTAAGAAAGAGGTTGAACTTTTTCCGAACGAATTAATGGACATTTAATCCGCGTATTTTTCCTTGTTTTTTCGTACCTCCACTCATCCCTTCACGACAATTTAGTTACTCACATGTGGAAAACCCTCAGCCTTTCCCCCGTGCCCCTCACCAAGGGCGAGAGGGTCGGGAGTGACCCCACAGCCCGCAAGCTGGCAGTCCACCGCCCGCCGACAGACGCCGCCCACACAGCCCTGCACTCCGCTCGCCGTCAGTTTGTGGCCCGCCGTCGGACGCAGGCCGTTTGCAGGCCCAGATACATTAAATTAATAGAATATTTATTGATAGATATGTTTTAGACCTTTTACACTCATATTTAAATCTGTACACGTACAATTTATTTAAATAACTATGAACGATTGTATTAAAGTGGTTAAATAGTACACAAAAGTCTAATGAGAAACACGTCATGCTAACTAATAAAAAGCATTAAATAAGTCATATAATGAACACATCATGTCACATCACATGCAAGTACAGGACACGTTGACACATGCAAATTCAATTTATTAAGTCAAATGTAAAATTCCATGGTAATATAAGGGCCTGTTTTTTTTTAAACACTTATTTCTAAAACAGTTTTATGGGTAGAGCTGTTTTTATCCTCTCTCTCATGGACATAAGTTGAGATAAAAGTTGAAAATAGTAGGATAAGATGAAAACTGCAGACAAGATATAGAATAGAAATTAAAAACTATAAATATTTTCAAGACACGTGCATGCTGCACGTGCAGAGGAGAAAATCAGGCCAAACAGTTTCTTACGAGGGAAACCACGTCCATGTGTCGACCGAGGCACGAACAAACCGTGATTTTTAGCGTTTCATTTTAGCATTGGGAGGAAACGACCAGTCGGACCCGCGATGGGACTACTCGATTGCCGCCCAGGCTGCGACTCGATTGCTCGCCGCCGATGCTCCTCCGCGTTCGCTGCCGCCCAGGCCGCGCTCGTCGTCTGCCAAGGCCGTGCAGGACGTGCAGGTCGCGCTCGCTGCCGCGCAGGCCGCTCGCTGTCGGTTGCCCACGCCGCCGCCCACGATGCGAAGGCCGCGCGCGCTGCCGTGCCGGCCGCTCGCCGTCGGTCGCGCTGGTCGCTCGATGTCCGCCCCAGCCATGCAGGACGTGCTTGACGCCGCGCAGGCTGCTCGCCATCCTGCTCTTCTTGTGCTTGTTCATGAGCAAGAGATGGTAGTCACGAGATGCTCCTGGTGCTTGAAGACATGATAGTCTGTTAGTCACGAGAAGATGGAGTCGGAAAAGAGAAAAAAAGGGCATATTTATTACGGTAATGATATGGACCGGACGTCCAGGAGGTCGGACGCAACGTTCCACAGTCCGTTCCCCCGCACTCACACTTCCCCCCGCTCTGTCCGCTCCCCCGCACTCGCTCTCCCCTAGCTTTAGTGCCCCGCTCTCCGGGCCATCCCCAGGACGGGGACACCACGTCCGCACACACAAGCTCGCTGTGCGCCCCGCTTGCCCATGCTCCCTCCCTCCTTCCATCCCTCGCTCCTCCGCGACCTCCATGCACCCCCACTCTCCTTGCGATCGGCTCCCGCACCCCCATAGAGAGGCGAGGACGATGGCGGCGGCTCTGACGAGGTAGGTCATGGAGGATCTGGATCTGAGCCCTGCTCCTCATCCTCTGAATCTGGATCTGAGCCCTCCTCTTCCTCCTCCTCCTCCACCTCCTCCTTTGAGGGATGTAGCGGTGGCTAGGGTTCCGGCGAGCTCTGGGGTCAGATCTCACCATGTTGCAATGGGAGTTTTTTTGATGTTGCAACAGATGATTTCAAATATTGCAATGGGATTTTTTGGGTCGTTATAACAGATGTTTTTACGATGTTGCAGTACTACTGCTTGAGATGTTGCAGTACATTTTTTCGAATATTGCAGCATAAATTTTGATGTTGCAATATATGTTTTTTCGACGTTGCAGCACATGTTTTTTAATGTTGCAGTACACATTTTTTCGTTGTTGCAGTAGATATTTTTCGTTGTTGCAGTAGATTTTTTTCGATGTTGCAGTGCATGTTTTTTTAATGTTGCACTACATATTTTTCGTTGTTGCAGTAGATATTTTTCGTTGTTGCAGTAGATATTTTTCGATGTTTGCAGTGCATGTTTTTTATTGTTGCACTACATATTTTTTTCGATGTTGCAGTATTTACAACCCGATGTTGCACTACATAGTTTTTCCATATGCTTCTGCAATGTTGTAGTAGAAGTGTTTCATGATCTTTTGAGATAGTGGCGTGGTGGAAACGTGCACTGTGTGAGATAATTTTTATAGATGGTTTTTTTTATCGACATGGTTGTTACCATGCGTAGTTTCAAGTATTGGGAGTGCCCTTAATAGTAAGTTAAAGAATGAAGTCGTGACTTTTATATAAGCTTTTAAAATTTTCTTTCGCTTGGTGCCATTTTTGTTAAGTGGTTGTTAACTTCCTAGATAACACCATTAATAAGTATCAAGTGGCATAAAGGAGATTATCTAAAAATAACCAAACAACACGTGTATGAATCTTGTATTGAATATTTTAGCTTCAAATCGAAGCAATGAACAATGGAAAAGTTTTCAAATATATAGTTTTAGATCTATTCGAATAGTACAACTTGATATAGAGTGTGTCTCCATTTTCCATCAATTGGAAAATATTTAAAATAGTTTTTTAATATGAGAACTTAATATATTATATATATATATATATATCAAGGCTCCTAAATGGTCTCAAATGAAAAGTCGTCAACTACAATTTTAGATCTCTTCGAGCTCTACAATTTTAATATAGAGAGTGTCTCCATCCGTAATCATTTTGAAAATTGGAAATCTGAATTCAAAATTCGAGAACTTGTCAGCATCTCGGCCTCACAAGACCAACCGCAACCCAAGGAGGATGAAGCCGCACCTGATGGGTGTCTTCTGATAGAGGCCCGGCCCAAAAGGCTAGCTCGGCCCAGCATGCACATCTCTGGCCTGGAATGGAAGCGGTAGCTATATGTAGTAGCTTGGAGAGATGGAGAGGATTACGAACCATTTTGTAACAAACCTCTGAACTAAATACGAATCATTCATCACTAAGCCACTACTACTAAAAACTTTTCTGAGGCAGGCGAAAAGGATTTACCGAGGCGGGCATCACAACTGCCTCAGTCCAAAGGTCACAATAAATAAATCTTTACGAGGTGGTTCAAATCCCGCCTCGGTAAATCAAATAAAAAAGAGAAAAAGAAAAAGCATGTATCCAGCCCTAACCAGGCCTAGATCTGGGCCTAGCTCTGTCGCCCCAGCGTGCCGCAGCCACCGGGGGAGGAGGCTTCGCTCCGCGCACCGCCTCAGGCGGGGCTGCTCCATCCGCCACCGGATCCGCCGCTCCTCCCTCCGCCCTCGCCGCCGTGCCTCGATCCGCTGCAGCCATGACCGGATCCACCGCCGTCGCCACCGGATCTACAGCAGAGGGGCCATCGTGACCCACCGCGACCGGATCTGAGGGATAGGGACACCGCTCGGGTGGGGGAGGGGGTGGGGGAGGCTGCTGCCGCTCGTAGCTGGATCTGCTGCTCGAAGCCTCGCACCGCCGGGAGGGAGAGGGCCTTGGGCTAGCCAGATCTGAGGGAAAGGGTGCTCGAACCACCGCCACTCGCCGGGATCTGCTCGGGTCCACTGCCGTGGGATGGGGAGGTGCAAGGGAGAGAGAGTGGACTAGTTGACGGAGGGAGAGAGTGGAGGGAGGGAAGGTGGAGTCACGAGTCCGGGGTGCCGCTCGACTTCGAAGGGAGAGAGTGCGAATGGAATGAAGGAATGAAACCCTAAGTGCTCCTTATATACGTGGCTAAGCTAATGAGGCGGCCATTTAGGAGGTCCGCCTCAAAAATAGAGGCATTTTTGGGCCCGCCTCCGTTAATAGATTTTAGAAGGCGGCTATTTTTAACCGCATCCTGTAAATCAATTTTGTGAGAGGCGATTGATTGCAACTGCCTCAGTTAATAAAAATGGCTGCCTCGGTTAATCTCAGGCATTAACCGAGGCAATTCAAAAGTCTGCCCGCCTCCGATGCCCCTTTGCCAAACGCCTCGGTTAAGGTTTTTTTTTTGTAGTAGTAGTGAGCTTCCCTGTTCTTCTCCTTCTCTTCCCCAATTCCCTCCTGTGTTGATTGCTAACAGAACTTAATATATTTATCTTTGCTCCTAAACGATCTCAGCTGAAAAAGTTATTGACTACAAAAGTTTAGATCTCATAGATCTCTACAGCTTTCATATAGATTTTATCGTCATCCGACTACATTTGAAAACATAATGAATTTATTTGTTATACAGCTATATATCTTGCTAATATTGTTGTTACCTTCTATATCAGTTTTTAAATTTTTCTTCTGTTTAGTGCCCCATTTCCGTTAGGAAGTTAACAGGTACTTGACAGAAGTGGCACCATGGGAAAGAAAAATTTACAAATTTTCAATGGCACATACGAGCTAGTCAACCATCTTTTCAGGGACACATAAGGAATTGTCTCAACGAACGAAGCTCAGGTACATCCATAGCAAGCCGAATGGATAGAAATATAACTGTAACAAGTGAACAATGTGAAACAAAAGCACACGTACACGAAACAAAAATACGAACTGGAAACGGCTGCTAGCACTTGAGTGTCTTGAAGCATGGGAGGCGCTGCAGCTCGGCCAGTTTCACCGACGGTGGAGCCTGCTCTTCCTTGGAGCATTTGCGTTCATGGTGGCGATGCAGACTACAGGGCAGCGCCACCTCCTGCTTCAGCTGGCAGAGGCACTTGCGGCTCTCGACCACTTTACAGCACTGCCCACGGATCTCAGAACGGGCCAGGCAGTTGGTGAAGTATGTGATTTGCGTCTGGCAGCTTTCTGGGGCGGGCGCGCCGCCGGAGTAATCCGGTGCGGCGGCAACAGCGCCGCCGACAACGACAGCGACGGCAAGGAAAGCTGCGAGCTTCGCTGGGTCCATGGGAAAATGAAGGTTCAGCTAGCTAGCCGGGATAGTCTGGGACTCTCTTATTAGCATGGGCTGACGAGTGCTGATCATGCCCTCTTCTCTTCTGCCTCCTTTCATAGACGGTGCTGTGTGGACGGTAGCGCCAGCAGGGAACGTGCACAACCATGTGGTAGCTGTGGATGCTGTCTATTATTACACACTAATTTAGTTGTTTCTGCAGCGAAGTAGACAAAAGCTAGCTAGAATCTTGCATAGTGATCAGAGCATATGTATGTGTCTTGCTGTCTATTGTATGAAGCTGCGCTGTTGGAATAATGAAATTTGTAGGGTTTCTGCCTTAAAAGTCGAATTTTAGTTGTACTCAAATTAAAAGAAATTTCAGCAAGTGGAATTGAAAAATCAAAAAAAAAAAAATAGAAGGACACCCGTGGGCTAGCTGGCCACTCGAGAGCCCCAAGAAACCGAGCAGCCAGCCAATCACAAGGGCTCGCCTTCTCCCCTTGCATGACGGGTTGGACAGGAACGGGCGGCGCTGCTCTAGTATACTAAAATAATGCGGCTACAATGCTAATCACGGTATTTAGCCTTCCTAATTAAACCAAGCCATTAGCAACACACGTCAACAAAATTGGAGCCAATCATCAACTTGCTTCTTGGCTTCTGAAATTGGCATAACTCCTTTTCTTCAGATAAATTAGCTTCACGAAATATAATTGAGGTTGGCATAGTCTCCTACAACAAAAAAGACTAAAAGTAAGACTATTTTTTTTGTACGACTTTTTTTTTGGGTCGCTCCTCCCTTTCGGCCATGCGATACCCCACGCAATAGAAAAAGAAACTGCCATCCTTACGATCCCTACCTACTTTGAAGGAAACAAATCGATCACCGAGGCTACATGCATGGAAGGAAACAATAATGGAAGGAAACAATTGGCAAAGATCAAGCAAGACTCCTCCATTCCGGCCATGCAATACCCCGCGCGATAGAAAAAGAAACTGCCATCCCTACGATCCCCGCCTACTTTGAAAGGAAATAAATCGATCACCTGAGGCCACATGCATAGAAGGAAACAATAATTATGCATAGAAGGAAACAATTGACAAAGATCAAGCAAGACGACTCAATGAGGTTGACCCTTAATTTTAGTGTTTCCAGCATGCAGACCTGAAATTAAAAAGTGGCTGCTCCTTGAGAACATTAGTGGTGCCAAATAAAAGATGTGTATGTTATACATGGTGAGACTGGTGAACCTTCTACAATTTTCTAAACGAATATTCTCACCATTCGTATATAGGTCCATTCCCCTGCGTTTCTTCGTGCTCCAATTAGCATATAATATGAAAGTATTGTTGTGTTCATCACGACTTGCAGTTGACTACTCCCATTAGCATATACTTTCTCTGCCCCAAAATATAAGTCGTTATGGAATGTGTGCAGGTCAAACTTTCTCAACTTTGACTAGGTTTGTAAAAAATACATGCAACATTTAACAATCAATTGGTCGACTCCTGAGGCCACATGCATGTAAAAAATACATGTATTATAATTGGTCGAAGTTAAAAAAAATTGACTTCTCGGGAAGCGAGAATGAATTCTATTTTGGGACAGAGGGAGTATATGAAAGCAGTGTTGAAAATATTTTAACAATCAAGTTCGTCTCTGTCTGATTGGTAAGCTTAGACATCATAATGGCATCAAAAAATTCGACTCTCATGAACACCCTCATGTATTAGTGCAAAGCATCCCAATCCTACAACATACACAAATGGCAACCTTAAAGACAATCTTAGACGTTCTGGCATTATAGTATATACGTGCAGACACATAGGCACGGTGGTGCAAGTGAGCAACCAGCAGGAGTCGAGAGTTAAGGGGTGTTTGGATCCTAGGACTAAACTTTAGTCCCTGTCACATTGAATTTTTAGATATCAATTAGGAGGACTAAACATGATCTAATTATAAAACTAATTACATAAGTTGTGGCTAATTCGCTTGCCAGCGCCGTGTACAGGATGATATGGAGATGTGGTGGAACTTATTCGTGGATTTGTTGGCGCATGAAAGAAATGGATATCGAAAATCTCTTCCTGTCGGTATAAAAAATGATCTTAGCCGTATCACGGAAAGATCAACACAGTAGAGTTTGTGAGCCTGCGACGCCATGCTCTCTGTGACTGTGTAAATTTCACGAACTTAGTTTTTTGGATTAAATGTCAATTTAACGTCGGTCATATACTTTTACAGTATTGTTATCTTATCGTGCGATCCGTGTGTTTTAGTATAAAAGTTTAGCTGTCCCGTAGTAACGCACGGGTATAAACCTATTTACATATATACTCGAACATGTGTGTACATGATTATATAGAGATGCAGTGAGAACTTATTCATGGATTTATTGGCGCATGAAAGAAATGGATATCGTAGAATTCTTTCTGCTAATATAAAATATTATCTTAGCCATATCACGAAAAAGTCTATACAGTAGAGTTTGTGAACCTGCGACATCGCACTCTCCGTGACTGTGTTAATTTCACGAACTTTACTTTTTGAATTAAATGTCAATTTGACGTCGGTATTTAATTTAACAGTATTGTTATCTTATCGTGCGATCCGTGTGTTTTTAGTATAAAAGATTGGGGCTCTAAAAGATTTAGTTGTCCCGTAGCAACGCACGAGCACGCTGCCTAGTAGCAGTAAAATCTATATTTCCAGCCTTCATTGTATTTTGCTTCACATCAAAATAAAATGCACCGAGTTTCAAAAAATAAGGATCCTTTAGATTATTACCGGATGAAATAATTAAATCCTTGTATGGGTCCAATAAAATGCCAGCTGAAATATTTTGATGAACCCTGGGCTCATACTCCTACTCCTCCTTAAATAGTCTGGGATAAAGTTACAATAAATCCGATAGGTTAATAGAATCCCTATGTAGAACATGTGTTTTCTAGGTGTTTTTAGTTTGTTAGATGGAAAGCATGACTGAATGATTCTATCATATCGCCTAGATATGTTGATATCCCCAGAATGACTTGATCTCCATGCTAGTAAATACGCTTGGCATGCGTGGGTTTCATTCCTCATCGTCTTTCGCATATTCGCTGGTTGATTTCTGGCTGATAAGCTCAGCTGGTGTTTTGTAAGAGAAAAACACTGTTGGCTGACTGATAAGCTCTGTATCAAACCAACTAGCGCACGGACTGTTTAGTCAGCATGTAGGACGGGTTGATTATACGGACGGCGAAGTACCCCATGACCATATATCCGACAGTAGCTTCTATAGGACTTAATGAAAAGCTTAGTTGAATAGCCATTCTCCACAGGTATTGTGGTCTTCTGTAATCCTCGGTGCCAGCAGGTTAGCATTCGTCGGGTACCGAGGTACTCGGCTGAGAGTATCTTCTGCGTAGGGATGTGTATCCCCAGACACTTGAGTACATGTACAGGCTTTAGTCCATCGATCACCGCATGTCATTAAGTCCTGTTTTGAAGATAAGGATGGACAGGACAGGGAATCTGAACCGGCTCGTTCTCCCTGCTTGCACTGTTGCATCCGTGGACTCGTCTGGGTGGTCACGCAAGCACTTATAAGCAGACTCGGGCCACCCTACGCCTGATTAATCTTTGTCTTCATTTATCTACAAGGCCCTGTGTGGCACAGTTTCAAGAGCCGTTTGAAACTATTTTCTGCCAAACGGAGTAAAGTGAAATAGATTCACTGGTGAAGCTCTTAAAAACACGCTCTCACAATGATTTGGGGTGGGATGGAGCCAAAAAAGTGGTTTCTCCCGGCTCCTCCTACAGGCCCCTAAAAACATGCTCACACAAGAAAATCATTTTGCCAAACGATTTACCAAAACCGCTTCAGCTCCACCGGTGAAACTGTTCGTGAAGCTGAAGCAAAAAAAAAATAACTTCACTAGTGAAGTGAAGCCCTGTCAAACAAGGCCTAAAACGGAAGGTAACAGGGTTGAACAATAAAGGGTTTCTTTTTTTTAATATGTTACTGTTACACGGTGTTAGACTCGGTTAGAGTTTTTTTTCAACTGAGCCGAGTATTTTGCGTTTCCTCGAGTACTCCACTCTGACGAGGCTTTGATCAACGCAAATATCTCGACTAAGGGCGAATGACCTTTGGCCCTTTGGGCTTATGGGGTGTTGGGTTCCACGGACTAAATTTTAGTCCTTGTTACATCGAACGTTTAGATGCTAATTAAGAGACTAAACATGAGTTAATTATAAAATTAATTACACAGATGGAGACTAAGTTATGAGATAAATCTATTAAACCTAATTAATCCATCATTAGCACATATTTACTATAGCACCACATTGTTAAATCATAGCCTAATTAGGCTTAAAAATTAATCTTGCAAATTAGTAGTAGTCTGTGCAATTAGTTATTCTTTTAATCTATATTTAATACTCTAAATTAGTGTCAAACATCCGATGTGATAGGGACTAAAATTTAGTCGTGGAACCAAACACCCCATTAGAATCCCACATAATTGGGTTCCCTAGTCACTAAGACGAATGACAAACGCGTGAGCAACGAAGGCATTTGTGTATGTCACTCTTCGAGCTATTAACGGATAGAACGAGTGGCACCCATGCCCTAGTATTGGACATGGCTAGGTAGGCCCATCATAGGACACGCCATAAACTCTTTTTCCATATTGGGGAACTCGTGCTTTGGTCGAACTAAATAAACCATTTTTCTGGTTTCCTCACAGGGCGTGTATCCTCTGGGATTATGTAGTTCGAGCTCATTCGGATAATTCGGGAGATTTACATGACACTCGAATGCCAAAGGTTTTAGAGCCATACTTGTGGCCCTTCCAAATCTCTCCTGACTAACAATGATTGGGTTAGTATCTACCGATCATATGAATCGAGGGATAAAAAACTAGGTTGAGAGCCCGGCCCAAGTATTGGACTGCCCGATAGTTACACCAGTTCAGCTTGACGGTTCATTTAGGTTCTGGAATGGCTGGCCCCCACGACTATAGAT